TGGCTGGGCTGCGGTAGGTATTGACGAGTGCCGGTGCCAGAGGTGGACAGAGACGTTGGACATTTTGCAGGCATACTGATCGATTGAGACGGTTGAAGGCATTTGATGCATCCGCAAACAGAGCCCCTTCTGTGGAATCCTCACTGAATGCATTGCGCATGGCATGAATGGCTGCCTCAATGCCCGACTCTTGGCCGCCACAGAGTTGAAGACATCCAACGGCATCCTCTATGTGGGCTTTGGAAATCTTCAGGATTGCCTTACTGACGATGCGCCGTACCACCTCACCGATACCGATGGGCCGGACACCTGGGTCCTTGTCCAGGGGTATAAGGCGGCATGCAACAAATGACTCTAGTGAGATAGGATCGATGTACTGTGTGGCAAGTCTCCGGGCGCAAGAAGCCAATGCATCACACAGACTGTCAGATGCAGCCTTAAACGAGGTGCAGATGTAACGTACAATTTTTTTCAACTTTTTAGTGTACGAACATCGATGTGTACGTGTACAAATGTTTCAAATATTTTCAAATTTCAAACGGTCATATGACTGCAACGGTTGGTCCGAATCGCTTCAAATTTGGAATATTGACACCTCAGGGCATATGCTTTGATTTCCAATAGCAAAAAGATGACAAATCGAAAGTTGATTTTTTGACCCCTGGAAGGTGGTGTCCCACCTTAAAGGGGAAGTTAAGGCAAAAATTAAAATTTCACCAGTTGTAGTCTTCGGGGGGCTGAGTCGAATGGTCTTGGTCCGAGAAAGCTGAGACGCTCCCTTCCTACTTTAATCCCAATCGAACTCGCGCACTTCCACCGAAACTGGGTGACTGCGCCCTCCTAGATGGGGATTTGTATGCAAAATGTCACTAAAAGCGCCATTTCGTTCTTATAAAAGCACGGATGACCGCGATTGGCCCATATGTTGTAGTCTTTTGGACGCTGAGTCGACTGGTTTTGGTCCGAAAAGCCTGCAATGCAGCGTTCGCCCCTAATTCCCAATCGAACATGGTTGAACAAGTGGTCACGTGCTCCTGCGTACACCAGTCACCTGGTCACCGTGCCTGCAGGGTACAACTTACAGCCTGTTTTGACCTTTTTTGGGTGCAGTCTTGTCACTCGAGTTGAACCTTGGTGGTGTAATATGCCCGAAACTTTGCCGAAAATGCTTTTGGGAAATTTTCGTAAACCTTGCCGAAAATGCTCCCAAACCTTGCCGAAAATGCTCGGAAAATGCTCACTTTTTTGTAATCCTCAGCACATGCCGTCAAAACCAGGGAGTCAGAACTTTACTCAATAAGAGACTTGCTCGAGTCTGCCATGGTAAACAATTCATAAACTACTCAACAAGAAGCTAACCCACGGAATGCGGAAGTGACGTTCTTGTTTGGGAAGTTTTTCTTCTCTCAATTTTGATACACAACGGCCAAGTGCTCCGTTTCCCCCCAAAATGCTGCATCACGAGCCCAAAGCTGGGTTCGCGGATTGTACCGAAAATGCTCAAAAAAATGCCGGCATATTACACGGGGGCCTAACCAGGTGATTTTGGCACCCAGGACCCAGGCGGTCGCCAGGATGCAGTTTATCGTCGTACCCAGGACGGGCGCGTTGGTGATGGTGACCAACCGCGGTCGCCAGGGTGCAGTTTATCGTCGTACCCAGCACGGGCTGCGGTGTGGTGGCGATGGCTATTGGCAGCGCTCCCTCTCGCTGCCGAGGGTTCGGAATGTTAGTGGCACTGGACATCCTGGCGTGGTCGCCAAATGTCATGACCGGGGAGTGGGCCAGACATACTATCAGGATTCTACGATTCCAGGTTCTTTACGGAAATATACCAGGAGTCCAGATACCCATTCCTCACCCTCACCACACAAGAAGACCAAAGCTTCACTCCAGGACCAAGTTCCAAGCAACAGAGAAGCAACAAGAACAACCACAACCTCTCGAAGCAAAGCATCGAGCTATACATGTATAAGGGCTTGAAAGTGCTACGTCACTCCATAGCAATGGCATAGCAACAATTTGAAAAATTCGAAAACTGGATCCACCTGGATCCAGTTTTTGTATGGATCCAAGCACATTTCAAGCGGTCTCACTCACAGCAAGGTGATGTTGCCAGTGAAACTGACTGATTTGGCTAGTGGGGGCGGGGTGACAACTGGTGGCGAAGTAAAAGTTGCACCTGCATACGACATGAGTGGGTTGCTATGCACCCACATACTGAGGCAATAGCAAAGTCACACCTTAGTGGATCCAAAATAGAAATCTGATGTCAATTTACTACTCCCAGGCCGTTTTTGACGTCATCACTTTCAAGCCCTAATGTCCTAGTACTGCCACTGGTACTAGTACTAGTAGTAGCGTGCAAGCTGAAGGAGCGAAGGGCGCGAGCAGCAGCCAGCCAGCAAAGCATGAATAGTGATATGTTTCCCAACGCTATTCATAGACGAGATACATCGACGCCACGGCAAACACTTGACAAAGATACATGTAGCCATTGTAGGAGCAGACGGAATACAATACAGATAGCAACACACGGACACGACATGCAATTGTATGCAGAGCGATGGCACAAAAGTGGGCTTCTCGGACCTCATGAATATCATGCATATTCACTACTGTGTTCAAAAAGTTTCGCCAACGTGTAAATTTGTTATGCTTTATGGGCCGTCATCTATCGCATGCACATATTGCCCTACTCTACAAGTCATATGTACGACCCACAGTAGAGTACGCTATCCCTGTCTGGTGCTTCAGACTTACTGCTAGCCAGCTAGAATCGCTTGACATTTTACAAGCAAAGATCTGCAGATGCCTGCTGCGGTCTGCGAAGATTGATTTTGATCGCTATGAATCGAAGAATAATTTAAATAGGCTGTGTAATTTGGAATCCCTTCACTTCCGACGCACTTACATTTCCATCACCGTTTTGTTCAAGTATATCCATTGGCACCCAGATTATCTATCCCGCTTTGACATCAATATCTCTTCTAGCGCACGCCGACCAAACAAACTGATTTTCAATTCTCATGGCCGCATCTCTTCCTCTCTCTTTCTGCATAAGATCGGAAAGCTGTGGAACTGCCTTCCACCAAGGCTGACATCCCAAGATTCACTTTCTAAATTTCAGCAGCAATATCGCTTGCACGTGAAAAGGTTTAAATTTGACTGTAGTGGTATATCCCTTGACATTTAAATTAATTGTTTTATTTTTAACAACCCAGCCCTGTGTTTATTGCTAATTTATGTAGCATATACTGTAACACGTGTAGTTTTCCTCACTGTTTATTTCTATTGCATGATTTGCATCAGGAGATCCCCTCGACAGGCCATCGCCTCTGGGAGATCCTTTAATAAAGATTATTAAATACACAGTGAATGTATGCGCGATATGCGGGTTTTTGGTGTTCTTGGAGGGTGACGGAGAAACCGTCGTACACATAGATGTTGGACGGGACGTGCTCTGCTTCGATGCCGATGGATTGAAATAATCACCTCCTCACTGCTCAAGCACCTCCAGAATCTTGACGTGAAGAACATAATCGTTACTAGCGGATTTACAAGCCAAAGGTCTGCTCGCTCCGTCACGCAGAGCCCGTCAAAATAGTGCACTCCGCCGACTTCAACCGCTGCGCACAAATTCTTCAAACTGCTAAAAACGGCTACGGAGGAGAACCTTACCATGAACCCATCTACTAGTAAACTAATTCGAGGGCTCTGAACACGATGGTGACTCGGTCATTGACGGGCAAGGTAGCTGAGATGCCGAAAGTTTGCTTTGAAAACTAAAAATACGGAGCGATATAATTATCCAAAAATCGATGACTCTTGACATGCGACACACCGTTGGAAATGTGTGCTTGACCATCATTATGCATCGGCGGCTAATGCTCGTTTTTTCACAGTATAATGCTTTTGGCAGTGCTCGATATTTCACGGCATAATGCCTGTTATAATGCTCCATTCACACTATAATCCTAGAGTGATATGTACATTTTCGAGCTATCTTGGGCAAATATGCACATGGAAAGAAATGTATCCACAATTGGTTCATACTGAGATAAGGAAGTGTAGTTGTACATGTATATGCATGACCACACTGAAAACACGCAGCTGTCGGAAGAGCGACGCAAGAGTGTCAGTACACTGTCTGTACAAGCCTCTTGTCATGTGAAAAGACGTGTAAAAAGTCTCGTATTGTACCAAAATAGAACTGATAATGCTTTCTCCAGCCAAAAACATGCCACCTAATGCCGAGCACTGCTACTTCTTCAAAACACCCATATATTGCTAGTTATTATGCTAGCATTAGCCGCCGATGCCTAAGGTCCATCATGTAAAAATCGAAGGCGCCAGATACGTGAATAACGCGCAGGCAGGCGTAGAACGTCGAGAAAAAAATTGTTCCGTGCATGCACGCCATGCTTGCACCATACATAATAGGGCTTGAAAGTGCTACGTCACAGCATAGCAACAATTTCAAAAATTCGAAAATTGGATCCACTTGGATCCAGTTTTTGTATGGATCCAAGCACATTTCAAGCCGTCTTACTCACAGCAAGGTGTATAGTGATGTTACCAGTGAAACTGACTGATTTGGCTACTGGGGACGGGGTTACAACTGGTGGCGAAGTAAAAGTCATCCCTGCATACGACATGAGTGGGTTGCTATGCACCCACATACTGAGGCGATAGCAAAGTCACACCTTAGTGGATCCAAAATAGAAATCTGATGTCAACTTACTACTCCCTGGCCGTTTTTGACGTCATCACTTTCAAGCCCTATTCGTACGATCGACGAAGGATTTCTGCCTTTTGGTCACGTGATTGAAGTCGCTACAAGTACCATGCCTATGCCTGGTATTATTATTACTTACTCCTATCAGTATCAGTCACCATACCAACAATCCAGGAGTTGCCAGGGAGCGGGTTTCTCACATTATTTTTTTGAAATGCGTGTCACAGAAATCACAAGTCAAAAGTAACTAATTAGTTACTTGCATGCTACCAAGAGAGTAGATCAACTCTTGTCTTGATGCTACCTGTACCTACGACTCGATCGAGCCACAACTGGCTGAGATTCTTGCTCATTCTTCTATTTTCTAAGCTTGAGTGTGAGGACTGACGGATATCCGTGCAGTAATCTGCCTTGGTAAACTGTAGTGTATCAGGGACGGGCTTTGGACTTGGAGATCAGCTGGCTGTGCCAGGGCATCGCGGTGTCGATCCCCTGCGATCGGGCGCGAGGCGACTGACTGTTCTACTACTACTAGTACATGTACTACACTTCTCACCGGCCAGTGCCACGCACCTGGACTAGTCAGTCCCGATCAAAGCGATAATCCCTACTGCGCATCTAAGATCTTTGTGGCCTCTTCTCTCTGCCTTTCTTGTCAACCGAGTGACGATTAACAACAGCAATGGATGGCCAGGAAAATGTAAGAATAAACAAAAGGAGGCTCATAGATTTGTTGCGTTGCTACTCGGAGAGAATAAAGCGTGTCCTGATGCAGTTGACCGCTGTAACACATTAGCCATATCAGCCACATTTGGAGGCAGTGACGTATCCTAAAGCTCAGCTTGCAATGAAATTGACTACACTGTATTGCACAATATTGTCAATAACTTCAATAAGTTGTGTGTGTGTGTGTGTGTGTGTGTGTGTGTGTGTGTGTGTGTGTGTGTGTGTGTGTGTGTGTGTGTGGCTGTATTAAGGATTTACTCATACATGTCCTGTACATGACTGTATTGTACTCGTGCGCGTATGTGTGTCCGCAGAAAGTGTACGACACGAAACACCCCACCGGCATCTCAACAAGTGTACCAATAGTAGGTGAGTAAAGACATACATGTACATTGTACAATAACCTAATACTAGAATAGAACCCGGGTTAAGGATCACACCGGGATCGGAGCCGGGGGGGGGGGGGGGGGGGGGGTGTGTCACTTGGCACGTACATTGTGCGGGTGATCCTTCGGAGCCCGGGGGGTCACTTGGCATGTACATTGTGCGGGTGATCCTTATACCGGGATTTAATTTCCGGCCCAAGGGGGGGGGGGGGGGGTCCCCCGTCGGTTTCCGAGGAAGCCGTAACTTTTTTCGCTCCAAACTATTTTTCCGGGGTCCATCTACTCACAAAAAGTCGTTTTGCACACCTTTTTGCCCATCCCTATACAACTGAGTCCAGCTATGTCCGCGCAGAGTTAGGTGGACCCTTAACCCGGGTTCTACTCTAGTTCAAAACTAGCATTAGATAAACCTTGTTATAGTTTCCGAACACAGTGTCCTCCACCTTGTTTCATGCTGTCAATCCAACAATATAATACATGTACATGTATGACATAATGCATTGTGTCACTCACTGCCCAGCTTCGTTTCTCCATGTGCACGGTGCATGTATAGCTCTCACCAGGATCGGCACTCTGTGCCTTTTTTTTTAATTAACAGTTTGCTCCATCAGATAAAGGTTTTCTGCTAAAATTCAAGTACAGGGCTTGCATGCAGTTTGTTTTCAACCTGATGCTGTACAAGTCACCTGGGCAGCATGCTAAGTACTTGTGACAGAGAACTGCGCCTAAAACAGAGCATGGCAAATGGGCTTCAGTCACGAGATTTCCCTGATAAGCGTTATGTGCACACTGATAGCGACACAGACTCTACTCATCCTTGCTGGCGGAAGGGTCTTTTTCAAAAGGTGTCAGCCAATCACTGTTACAGTGGCAGAGTACAATTAGGAAAGATTGAGTGCCCCGGCCAGCATCCACATTACTAGTAGTCCTTCCAGCATTTTTCTAGTGAATTCCAGCGTTTGGGATCATGGATGCTGAGGCAGTGCTAGGTACTACATTCATGACATTCACTGATTAGAGACTACTTCGAAGTATGTGCCGTGTTAATCTTATTGCCATAGCATCCCAGGCTTCACATGCCAATTTTTATCCACCATCACTCAGTGATATTCTTTGTATGCTCAGACGGGAACATGGCTCTACACTACGTGACTTTGTGTTGACTGGACCATGGGATTGCATGACTGTGTGTTGACTGGAACATGGGATTGCATGACTGTGTGTTGACTGGAACATGGGATTGCATGACTGTGTTCTGAAAGACATGGGCTTACATGACAGGCCCCCGGAACCGGTCCGGTTGGTCAAGTTATCACCGGACCAACTTTTTGGCCACCAACAAATGTTTCCTACGGTGGAGGGCGTGTGTACTCGTCATATCACACACAAAGTATAAAAGGCCATGAAGCTACCGGACCAATCAAAAACTGCTTCCGGCGGTACTGATACTGCATGATTGTGGTCTGAAAGACATGGGCTTACAGGACTGTGGTCTGAATGACATGGGCGCACACAACATTCGCACCGCCAGCACTGAATAGCCCTGAGCATCTGAATGCGGGCATCAGGCAAAGTGGCTTCTGCATTTCCCCAATTATAAGTCGCACTCGATTTTAGGCTGCAACCCCACTTTCTGGTGTGAGCCATAATTGATATTTACATCAGTAGGATGTCACGCTTGATTGTAAGTTGCACTCTCTTCTCTGCCCTTATTTTGCTGAGAGAGAAAGGTGCGACTTGTACGCGGGTAAATACAGTATGCTTGTCTTATATGCATCGGTTAAGTAATATCTGTCTCTCTGCCCCCGGCTACTACAACACTAATTGACTATGGGTGAATACAGTTGTATAGCATAGGTGTTGCTGTTCTGCTAGCAAGGACAAGGACATACATGTATGTATGCCTGTACATGGGGATCTATAACAGTATAAACACGATGATAGACCAATTCGTGACTTTGTCTAATAATTGCAGCATACATTAATGTTTATACTGGGCTTGGGAGTTAAACAAAAAATGCTTTTACTTTTGTAAATTGGAGGGTCGTGTGTGTGTTTGTTGGGATGGGGGGGGGGTATGTATGGTTCACCCGATGCTAAGCATGGATATACCTGTTCAAGGCTTGTCTAGCTATGCGATGTCGGAGGTGTATTTATCAGGTGCTTCGTGTGTTCAACTGGATAATAAAACATGCCAGTTCACAACACCTTTTTGACATGGATGTAGTATGTTTAATTGTTGTTCATGTCAGGTGATCAGTTGTTGGGGAGTGTCACTGTTTGCGGAGATTGTTTTCTATTCCGAACTACCGTAGCCCTACATGCTGCCCTCATTTGTGCACTAGTTAAATTTGCTTCTCTGTCAGAACAACTCAGTTCTCACTCAGCCTGGAATCATGGAGGAGTGGTGTGGAGTGGGATGGTGCTTCAGTAATCAACAACGCCAGTTGCCTGTTTGAGCTGACATGTCTATACACTGCTCGGAATGTGTTTCTAAACAAGTGTCCGTAATTCCTCATGCGTACATGTGCTATGTGGCCGTGACATTGCTCTACCAAATTATACAGGCTCTGCAAACCCAGGCAACCCAGTGGCATCCGTTGGTGAAATAGAAATACCCGAAGCATCTGGTGAGTCCTTGCAATGACTTTCGAAATGCTCCGCAGGTGTCGCAATTTTTAAAACTAAGGCTACAGCCCAGCATGAATTACAGCGTACATGTTTCTTTATTTTGCTCACCAAATATCAAGATGAACAATATCAACTGTTCAGGACTTGAACATGTCTAGACAGCTATAGAGGAACTCTTTGCCATGCTAAGAAGAGAACAAACTCGGCCATTACAGTCTCCAATATCACATCATCTCCAAGAAACTTTCCTTGCTATGGTGGGAACGTGCCAGTGCAGTGCAGAGGCCGAGATTGTGTTGCGGAGTGGTGCGGGTGGAAATGATATCTACTAAATGTCAATGAATGAATTTTTTTAATGTTGTGTGATGTTTGCGTCGACACGAAGTATTGGATTATAACACAATCCTATGGGACCTTCCCTGAAAATCACGGTGTAAATAGTTGTTGTTGTTGTTGACTTTTATTTTACTTCACCAATTGCACAGGCATGATTGCCTTCTTAGCCTATAGTTCTGTGCACAGAGAACGGAGCACTTTCCCAGCAGGTGCCACAGATATCCGTGCAATGTTAGCAGTTTTGTATATAATTATAGTGCTACAGGAGGAAGACAGGCACTTCTCTCTCTCACACACTCTCTGTCTCTCTATCTCTATCTGTCTCTCTCTCTCTCCCTCTCTCTCTCTCTCTGTGTCTCTCTCTCACAAACACACACACTCTCTCTCACACACACACACACTCTCTCTCTCTCTCACACACACACACACACACACACACACACACACACTCTCTCTCTCTCTCTCTCACACACACACACACACACACACACACACACACACACACACACACACACACACACACACACACACACTCTCTCTCTCTCTCTCTCTCTCTCTCTTTCTCTCTGCTTCTCGCTGCAGAGTGGTATCAGAAAGGCACAGCTGCCGCAAGCCAACATCCAATGTACCGGACTACAACGGCCACTGCCTATGGGTTAGTTGGCAGTTATCTGTTTTCAAATGAGCTGTGTACATGTGCGACATACTCGTAGGACTACACAAAGTGCTGTGATATTGCAGACAGCGAAGGCTTGAATTCTGACAAAAATCAGTTCTGCCAAACCAGATGAAAATGCATGTCTATCTTCTCCAGGAGAAGTGATGATAACACTGGCACATAAACGCATTGTTTTCCTTTGCAGGGCAAGACACAACACAGTGGAGTTTCTACCAACTTCTCACCATGGCAAGAATAACGGCTTTTCCCAGGTGAGCGTTTGACTTAAGTAATGATCATAGTTTCTCATACAAAACCCTAGATGGCAAACTTGAAGTCAGGACAACTCGAAGGTTTTGCGCTCTAATACCTAGACCCTCCAGTTTGCAGTTTGCGAGTAAAATCCTCCAAGAATGGTGGATTTCCGGGCACTTGATTCGTGGAAGTAGGGAGCGTAGTACCAACTGAAATTGGTTGATTACAAACAGACTATCTCTTATAACGGTGTAATCCGGTGGATAGAACTCTGCGATCTGTTCAGGAATCAGGACTCATCATGACTCACCGTGACTCACCATGAGTCCATGACTCACCACGAGTCACCACGAGTCACCACGACTCACCACGAGTCACCGGTGATTGAGTGTTACTGTGGCTAGACTATGATCTCTGTTAGACTGTATGCCGTCGCACGTTTGGGATTATCAATGGAAAGCATGTAGCACGGAAACAATGTACCTAAGTGTTCAAAGGAGATTCAAACAGCCTGGAATTACAAACCAGGAATTACAAACCAGGAATTACAAACCAGGAATTACAAACCAGGAATTACAAACCAGGAATTACAAACCAGGAATTACAAACCAGGAATTACAAACCAGGAATTACAAACCAGGAATTACAAACCAGGAATTACAAACCAGGAATTATATACTATGGACACCAAACAGCCGGCAATGTGTGAATTTTTGTCAGACTGATTGATTTCATTGACTTCCAACTGAAGCATCTTGACTTCAACACATGGGCCACAATTTTAGGCATTTTTCGCACGCTGTCTACCACTCCGGCGATAGTTTGGAAATCTTCAATAATAATTATTGATTTTTGGCGATGAGACTGAGAGGACGGGATGATTTTTAAGAAACCATTGAAGAATGATTGTGCGGAGGAAGAAACTGTGAGTAGGGACGGATGTTCTTCCATTGGACCCTGTGTATGGTAAAGATCTGGGTTGCTAACCTGTCATCACTCGTAAATTTTTTTTTTATTTTTATTTTTTACAAAATACACAACTCACCGGTAGGCACATGGAGCTAGCATGGGATGAGATGGTGCTGGTGGGGCTTGCCATGCTCAACCGACCAGAGGTCTTGGCATCTTGACATGGCAGGCGCACCAAATTAGGGAGGGAAGCATAAGCATGAGGGGAAAAAAGCACGGGAGAAAATGGAAGATGTAGAACGAAGGAGAGGATCTAATTTTGGAACACAGCAGAAAATAGCAAATAATCAAACGAATTGAAGATTCTTATCTCTCTTCAATAGTATCCTGTGAAGAATGAATAGATAAACCTGGCTAGTTTGAAGTTCATTTCCTCAATGACATGCTGACGCTGTCTTGCTCTGCCCTACAAGTTCTCGTTGTCGTTTGATCTATTGCAGCATTTGGCAGGTGCTGGAATGTATCGTGATAAGGGACTCAACACGACCACGGATAAAAAGTTTCTTTGCCAGCCCAGTACGTAAGCAGTCTGTGCCACTTCATCCCTTCACTAGGAGCAGACACTATTGTAGCTGTTACGTTACCGACCTATTCCCCCACCACCCCCTCCCTTTCCAGTGTGTGTGTGTGTGTGTGTGTGTGTGTGTGTGTGTTGCCAAATACAGAGTAGAACAAGTCCCTTCCCAAGAGGTAACTATTTGACTTCAAGTCTCTAACATGTGGCAAATTGATTGTTATTCCTTGTAACCTGGCGGCAGTATTTTCCATGTGAGTGCTCATACTTTCCTCGGGCTATGCAACGTAATTACACGGTTCTGCTTTCAAGGTCATACATAATCTCTCCTCACAGTCTCCTCTTGAATTTAAAAGTCTAACAGCGTTCACATCAATACTCAACTTATTCTTTTGCTCACTGAGCAATACAATCTTTCCATTCTCTTTCTTCTGTTTTCTTTTTCAACTCAATCCTCCCTACCCAATCTCCCTTTGGTGCGTCCATGGAGCCATGAAGCCGAGACCTCTGGTCGGCGGAGCTTAATGGGCTCCACCACCACACTCCATTAGTCACCTCCAGTGTCTGGAGATATTATGTGGATTTTGTGGAAAAAAAAAGAAAAAAGGTACTTTGAAGTACATGTACATATTGTTCCACTCTTTTGCACTTGAAATTGCAGAGTCAAGCACTGTGTTTCACCATTGTAAGAAGATAACTGTGTTGCATCCAACCGTAGTCGAATTGTTAATTGCTGGCTAACTGTCTGTCAAGGGGTTCACCACATTGCAGGATAAAATCCATCATGCTGCTTGCTGTCTTTTGGTAAGGTTCAGCTTTTCCCGCCTCTCGCAACACAAACACAAGTTTGGAGTTTGGAGTGGTCTGTTCGTCAGGACCATACCTTTTCATTCTACAACTAGTACTTCAGAAATCACAAAAGAGTAAACTCAGCGTGTTGAAGTGTGAAAATAGAATAGTGAATATTACAGCACAAAAGAAATTTCAATCTGGTATGCTACCTATGCTCTTGGCCACATACCAGCAACGTGAAAATTAATGTTGGCAAGAGCAAGACAGTATGACGTGAAGCAAGTGTGCTGAGGCATGCAATGTGTAGCATATTGAGTGTTGCTACACACTGCTTGTTGTGTTTAGACGAGAGAGCAGTTTTCTACCTTTCACCGGCCACGGCAATGGTTACTGGAAGCTGAGAACTAAAAAAAGTAATCACGCTGCACCTCTGATCATGTTTGTGCAGCAGTTTTTCAATATTATTGAATGTGTACAAAGTGGCTAACACAGGACATGTCCGGATTTATGGGTCACTTTGAGGACGCGTACGCATGAGCATACACACATGCACATACGCTCGAACGCGCGCGCGCGCACACACACACACATATGCACACACACACACACACACACACACACTGAAATATGCACACGTCCACTATTCAAAACAGAAAGGAGCGAGATACTGATGCCGCTAGCTGTGGCAAGTTGCACAGCCAGAGGTTCCTGGCAAGAATCACGGATGCACACGATATCAGGCAGGCAGGTCATTTCACTGCACACTGCAAGAAACATGGCGAGGATTCTTCATCCGTAAAAAATGCGACCACGACCTTTGGCTCTGCCTTTGGCTTTGCCTTTGGCTCTGCCTTTGGCTTTGCCTTTGGCTTTGCCTTTGCCTTTGGCTTTGACGTTGCCGTTGGCGACAGCAATACCGTCAGGTTGTTGCGGACAATGTCCTGTTACAATGCTCAATGTTTGGAAGAATGTTGGTTTTTCGCAGACAATGTCCAATTTGTCGTCATCTTTGGCTTGGTTGTAGCGACGAAGAAGAGCAAGCTCTGCTTGAAGCTAACACAAAATTGACACCAAGCAAAACACCCACACACACACATACACACGAGGACACACACACATACACACGAGGACACACACACACGAGGACACACACACGAGGACACACACACATACATACATATTATGCTAGAGCACCTTTCGAATTTGGAATCGAGCACCAGTTGCCACATGCCCAAGCCTTCACCGTAGTTAATGTACATGTGTGTAGTGTGGGTGGGTATTGCAGGGGGTAGTGTGGGTGGGTGTTGCAGGGGAGGGGGGGGGGAAGTGTGGGTGCGTGTTGCAGGGGGGGGGGATGTGGGTGGGTGTTGCAGGGGGGGGGGGGGGTAGTGTGGGTGGGTAATGCAGGGGGAGGGGGTACCTGTAAAGCCTCTCCCTCCCAGCTCAGTAGCACTAGAAGGGGAATATACCAAGACCCGGTTTACTTCCATTGGATGAACAGGCTGATTTAAGCACTTTGATTCCCATAGCTATGCAAAAGATGCTACTTCAGTAACGTCTGGCGCTAGCCAGGGTCCACACAGCTTTATTTTTTTTAAAAAGAGACAATTGCCCTGGCCTTTCCCTGTGGTATATCACATTGAAAACTCACAAGGTGCTGCAGAAGAGGGGAGTGTTGGGCCAAACTCGCACTTCGAAGTACTTGAAGTAGATGGAAAACAAACAGCTCCATCTATCCATCTCTCTATTTACATCAGTAATGTCTGTGGTGCCTCCTTCGCACCATGGCTGGCAACTCGGCTTACTGAAAGCTCGTAGCTGTACTGATGAGGCCTTTATGGCCGAAACAGCTTGCTGTCTACAGCATTGGGTATTTTTATTATTCCCGTAGCTATGCAAAAGATGTTACTTCAGTAACGTTTGGCGCTAGCCAGGGTCCACACAGCTTTAATCCCGTATTTGTTTGTGTGTTTGTGCCGTCGGCATGCCTGGCGCTATCCCGTACCTGTCCCGTACCGCACCATCAATCATTTGGAGGTCTGCTTCTTTTCCGTGTAGTCTTTTGGACGTTCAGCTAGTACTGTCCTCAGCGATGAAAAGCAGTCTCCCGACCAAGGGCAGGCCGCCCAGCGTGTCTGGTCCTTATCTCACACCTGGATCCTCGAATGCTTCTACCAGTAGAAAAACCCTGCCGTCCTCACGAACACCCCCGGACACTCTGCGTTCGACTGCTGCCACTGGTAACTCCTCCTTCGACTCGGATGTCCTTCAAACGATGTTTAACGAGCTGATGAAGGACAGCAAAGAGACGCGGAGCCGCATGGACAGGCTAGTGGACGACATCTCCACCAAGTTTGAAGCAATAATGGCCGAAAATGCTGAACTGAAGACGAAGCTTGCCGCACTGGAAGAACGAGTTGCAACTGTAGAGCAGTACGGTACAAAGCCTGTCCAGAACCCAGTACGAACCTCCGGTTTGAATTTCAAACAGCTGGTTGCTGACGAAGTGGACAAGACCCGTCGAGAAACGAACATCATTCTCCGGGGAGTGGATGAGGAAGGCGATGACCTCAACCGGGACTCTTGTGCTCAGCTCCTTGGAATTCCCACAACCGATATTGTCACTGTTGAACGACTTGGGCGAGCCCACCAAACAGCGCAGCCTGACAAACCAAGACCAGTTCGCGTACAGCTTGCCACGCGAGCCACGAAGGCCGCCGTGTACGGTAGGCGCCTCGACTTGAAGGTGGGCTCAAGGAATTTGTATGTGAGCCATGACCTGACCCGCTCACAGCAGCAAGCACGCACCAAAGTCGTCCCAGTGTACAAACGACTCCGGGCGCTCCACGTACGCTGTTCCCTACCGTATGACACCATCCTGGACCCCGAGGGCACAGCCATGGCAGACAATGAAATCACCAGGTTGCTTGAACGTGAACAGCAGCAGCAATAGGATCGGGCACAATCTCCACAGTCACTCAAGAAGTTACGAACCCCACGTGAGTTACCTGATGCAACATTTATCACCAATCTCCCATGCTCCACCACCCATCCCTTTTGTATTGCTCATATCAATATCTGTAGTATAAGAAACAAGCTACCAGATGTTACTAGCATTCTCCATGCACCCAACGTCCGTACAGTTGATGTTCTTGCTGTTAGTGAAACTTGGCTGGACAGTAGCATTTATTTATTTATTTATTTACTTGTATTTATTCAACATCTCCTGGCCCGTCCGAAGACTGCCAATAAACATGAGAGGTCAGGTGATAAAAAAAATAAAATTTCAGACACCCTGTTAAATATACCTGGCTACATACTGTACCGTCATGACAGGCAAGGCACAAGAGGCGGCGGAGTTTGTTTCTTCGTTCGTGAAACCATACCTGTCTCATCCTGCATACCCAGCACAACTGTCGAGGCCCTGTTCTTAACGGTCGCAGGAAACACTGATACTTCATTGTGCATTGGTTGCGTCTACCGCCCACCTACTGCCCCTGTATCCTTCTGGCAGAACCTAGCAGACTCAGCTGATCACGCCACCAGTAGTAGTAACGCGACCCTGTTCCTCCTTGGCGATCTTAATGTAAACATTTTGGCTCCTGAGCGGCACCCTCAACACCGCCACCTTAGTGAACTCTGTGACACACTCAGCCTCCACAATGTAGTGCTAGAACCCACTAGATCCCCAAGCAACACTTGTCTGGACCTAATCCTTGTCTCTCAAACTCTGCCTAGTGAGGTAACACTCAAACCAGTAGCTGTCCAGTCACTAGACGGCGTTTCAGATCATTTCCTGGTGTCGCTCATCCTTGCACTCGCTGGCAGTCAACCGCACCGTGTCTTGCTCAATCACCGCAAGATTCGCTCGCCACCGGTCAGACAACTTACTGCTGAGGAGTTTGGCCCGGACTTCCTTCAATCTCTCAGAGCCACGGACTGCAGTGACATGTCAGTAGACCAACTTAGCACTGTATGGAGCGATGCTGTTCTACAAACTGTGGATCAGCACTGCCCTCGACGTAGCGTCACCTTGTCATCTCATCCACCACCACAACCCTGGGTCACGCCTGGCCTCCAAAGTCTATATTAGCGGAAAGCGTACTTACACAGACGGTGGCTCCGGGATCGCGACAGTGACAGTGCTCGCCAATGTTTCCGAGCTGCCCGACGAGAGTGTCAAATTCTACAGCGCAGACTGCAAACTGAGTACTTCACCAACAGATTTTTCTTGAGTCGGTTCAACCCTCGAGCTCAGTGGCAGGTACTGAACCACCTCTTAGGTCGGAAGCAACAACCGACGACTCTACCTGTAGACGTTCCGGCCCTAAGTGCAGTATTTGCGGCTCAAGTTACCGATCCTACACTGAACACTGGGTCACAGTTACCCCTAGGCCCCAGCAAAGCAACTGGATTCACTACATTTCGGCCAGTGTCCCCGACTGACGTGGAACGACGGTTATGCAAGCTAGACGAATGGAAAGCCACCGGCTCTGACGACATTCCTGCTTCACTTCTGCGTGCGTCCTCCAAGTATCTAGCTGCATCCTTGGCGGAAATCAATAACAACTCCCTTGCCACTGGCGTATTCCCCGAACAATACAAGCTTGCCCAAATCTGTCCAGTCTTCAAGAAAGGTGATAAAAACGCTCCCACAAACTATAGACCAATCTCCCTTCTTCCCATCGTTTCCAAAGTCCTAGAAAGAATCGTCTACGACCAGTTCCGGCAGTTCATGGTCTCTGCAGGTGATGTTATACCTGACGAACAGTTCGCCTATCGCTCCTGTCATTCATGCGGTGACGCACTGGCGCTATGCATTGACAGTTGGCAGCGGTCCCTGGACTCTGGCAACGTGGTTGCTGTAGCATTCCTCGACCTCAGCAAAGCCTTTGACTGTGTCCTGCATGGCGAGCTCCTTCTGGAGCTGCAGCGCTGTGGAGTAGGAGGCACTGTTCTGCAATGGTTCTCCAGCTATCTGTCCAGCCGACCACAGCAAGTGAAATGCCTCCGTCAACCACCTGGAACCCCGTACACGGCCAATCGCGGTGTCCCTCAGGGCTCTGTCCTGGGACCGGCACTGTTCACGGTGTACACCAGGCGCCTACCAGCCTGCCTACAGTCATCCCTCTGCCTCCTGTATGCAGATGACACCAACATCTACGCTGCCGACCCGTCCCCTTCCACTGCCACACAGACCTTGGAACATGATCTGACCCGTGTGAGCAGCTTTCTGGAGGCCCATGGACTACAGCTGAACCCATCCAAGACGCAATTCCTGCTGCTACGGAAACCCAATGTACATGCAGACTGTGCCCTACAGTTTTGCAACAGCCGTATACAGCAATCGCAGGAAGCCAAGTACCTGGGCATCATCATAGATGAGCATCTGTCGTTTCAACAGCAAGTAAGTAACATTAGAAGTAAAGTTAATGCCAAGGTCAATGCATTTCGCCGTTGTCGCCACCTTCTCAGTGCTAGAGCCAAGCGAACTTTCTATCTTGCATTTGTCCAATCTACCCTGGAGTACGCGAGCAATGCGTACGTGCACTGCCTGCGACAGACCACCTATAACGCTCTTATTAGCATCGCGAATCGGGCGATCCGCACTGTCTTTGGCTTCCCTCCCTCTGCCTCCATCCAACCCATCTTAGCTAGACAGCACCTAACACCGTTAAATATTCGCTATGCTGCCAACCTCTATGTGTTTCTACATAGATGCATAAATGCTCGTGCTAGTCCCCTACTTTGCCGACTTTTCACTCCTCGTGCTGTCTCATCATCCCGCACTGCTAGAATTACCCGTTCTCAGGAATTGCTCGGCCTGGTACTGCCCCATGCCAGATTGTATTTTGGCTATCACTCTGTATCTTATCTTGGAGCTGACCGATGGAACGCCCTCCCTGCCGCGATTCGCACCATATCCCTACCTGCTGCATTTCGCTCCGCTATCTTCATGTGGCTAGGGCACCCTGTAAGAAGACCATAGATCTGTGGGGACTGCCCTAGTAAAATATGAATAAATATGAATAAATAATAATAATAATAATAAT